GTTTTCAGAATCCCTAAAATGTCTCAGACACGTTTTAATGATAAATGCTACAGGACTTTTTCATCAGTGATGTTATCTATTAGCTGATCTCGTATCTAAAATATTTCTCAAATGGAAAAGACGCCAATAACATTTTCTGAAAAGAGCCACGTGTTCTTAAAAGATTTCAGATACACAGCTCTCAGAAGTCATACGTGTTTAAAATGTAATACGTTCCGTATCTATTTATAAAGAATCACACCACGACTTCTGGAGGAACTTTTAAATAGTTTTCTCGTACCCGTTTTGGAGCTAGGAAAACACACACACACATATTCCCCAAGTCTAGACTTCCTTGGGCTCTGGCTATTTAGAGTCTACGTTTGGTGTTTTTAAACCCCTATGACACATTCCTTTCTTTCATCTCTGTGATTCCTGGCCACCCTTCTCCAGTGTGTCTGGCTAATCTTCCTGATATTTCTGGGGCCTAAATGGACCCAGAATACTTGGCTGAGAAAAAAAAAAAAAAATCAGATAGGAATGTGATTCTGGACCTTTTTTTTTTTTACATAAAAGATTTCCTTGTATTGATATGGAAATGAACAGATGTCTGATACCCTTTTGCCAACCTGGAACATTTCTGCTTACTCCAGGGAATTCTTTGGGGCTGATGTTTCTTAGGGTTTCCACTGTCAATTCAAAAGTTCTGTCTCCGCTATCAGAACGATCTAGGATAGCCCCAAAATGGGAGATTCATTCCTTGGCCCCTATTTCTGCTTGGTGCCTCAACTGTGTGTAAAACAGGAAAGACAGTAGATACGAAATGGCTTTATATTTGCTCACTGGAACACTACGACGCGCAAAAGGACTGTTTTTACTGACAATCCCAACAAATCTGTAGCTTTGCACATCTACGTTCTGTTTTATCGGACCACTTCTGCTTCCCAGCCCTGGAAAAGACATGATATAAACCCAGGAAGTACTTTTTTTTTTTTTTTTTTTACTGACTGAAGTAATAAAAGTCAATCCAAATGTTTTACGGTCTGTCACCGGGCACAAATCTTTGCTCAGCCAGGTAAGTTGTTATTTGAAAGGACAAACCCAGAGCGTCGTGAACGGTGGCTGGAGCTCACGGTTGCCGTTTCTACACGCCAGAGTCCCCTTCAGTCCTACACTGGCCTCTACTCTGTCTCTTTCCAGAAACCTCAAACTCGTGCATGGAAAACCAAACCCGTCATCACCGCTCTCTTTGGGCTCCACCCGAATCGGCCCCTCCTCCTGTTCCTGCCTCGGTGAACACCAACCCCACCCACCCAGTTACCTGAGCTAGAAATCTCCAAATCGCGGTACCTGGTGCCACGGAGCCTTGTTCCCCCGTGACCACGTGACTCCTAAGAATACTCAGAATACGGTGGTCACTCCTCAAGCCACCAGAGCCACTGTCGAACTCGTGGGGCCAGCCAGACACCCCTGATGGGCTCGCCGGCACCTTACCTCCCCTCCTTAACCAACTGTCCCGGGCACAAAACTGGGGGGATTCAGTAGGGCTTGCTACCTACCAGTGGGTACAGGGTGAGAACCCACCCAGCTGGAGGATATTTGGAGAATGTACTCACGAAACCAGCAAACGAAAGTGGAAAATGTTTCGTGCGAAAATCCCTAAATATGTCAACCCTAAATCTAACGGTATCTTGGCTGAGTGACAATCACCAACCCTCACGTCTTTCTCCAAGGAAAGTTTAAAATACGGACAAAAATGGGGGCGCCTGGGTGGCTCAGTCGGTTAAGCGTCCGACTTCAGCCAGGTCACGATCTCGCGGTCCGTGAGTTCGAGCCCCACGTCGGGCTCTGGGCTGATGGCTCGGAGCCTGGAGCCTGTTTCCGATTCTGTGTCTCCCTCTCTCTCTGCCCCTCCCCCGTTCATGCTCTGTCTCTCTCTGTCCCAAAAATAAATAAACGTTGAAAAAAAATTTTTTTTTAAATAAAATACGGACAAAAATGGGGGCGCCTGGGTGGCTCAGTCGGTTGAGCGTCCGACTTCGGCTCAGGTCATGATCTCACGGTTTGTGAGCTCAAGGCCCGCATCATCAGGTTCTGTGCTGATGGCTCGGAGCCTGGAGCCTGCTTCGGATTCTGTGTCTCCCCCTCTCACCTGCCCTCCCATGCCAATGCTCTGTCTCTCTCGGTCTCTCAACAATAAACAAACATATAAGAACATTTTTTTAATAAAATAAAACACAGACACCAATGGATTTACTCGATGTCACGAAATGAATCAGTGGTGGAGAAAGAACTAAATCCAAATCCGTCCTAAAACAATAAGATTCCTGAATGTGCTCTTCTCCCTCTGATTTTTAAACAGCCACTGAGGAGACTTTTAATACCACTTAGTAGAGTTTAGTATTCTTATCAAGAAAATATTTTCCAGATACAGCTAAGCAACTTAATTACCATGATGATTTTTGCTAATTATCCCTCAAAAACATGCCTTTATCTTCTAGACTCTTACTCTCCAGGGCAAATTGCATGTTGGAGTCACAATGACATCTCTTGGTGCAATGAAACTTAGCTCCTTTGGTACCTGAGGGCTACTTAAAACATTGCAACTTAAACAGCACAATGGAAATTGTGCCTCATATGAGGGTACCAGTGCTTAAAAAAGAAAAATAGAACTAAATTTATCGTTTAGGCCAACAAATTGAGGCCCTATACCTCATGATTAACAATGAAGCAGTCCAGGGGCGCCTGGGTGGCTCAGTCGGTTGAGCGTCCGACTTCAGCTCAGGTCATGATCTCATGGTTCCTGAGTTCCAGCCCCACACCTGGAGCCTGCTTCAGAATGTGTCTCCCTCTCCCTCTGTTCCAACCCCGCTCGCACTTTTTCTCTGTCTCAAATAAAGATTTTTAAAAATTAAAAAAAAAATAAGGCAATCCAGATCGCTGTGGTTTCTGGCTAAGTCTTGCACACCCCCTGTACCAAACGTCATGTTTCACCGCACTATGTCACATACGAAACTCCAGGCAACGGTGGCATTGTATGATATTGATGTGTGCCTTACAGTGATCCTGTGTGACTCTCCCCGTGATCGACCTCTCTTCCTCAGACATGCCTGGGTCACCATAAGGTGGCACAGAGCACTGAGACTCAGGAAATCCAATGATCAGTTCCCCAGGATCACTTTCATTTCATCAGGTAAATAAAATTGACGAATATATTGAACTGCCTCTGGTAACCCTGGGAATGAATTTTCCAGGTGCCTCAACAAAACCAAAACTCGACTTTGTCACATGACTCCACAAAACGTGATGGATACATTTGAATTTCAACATGTTTCTCCTCCCTACTGATTTCCTTCCCTTCCTCCATATTTATAGAAAGGGTCTATTTGGATTTACCTTTGCACACAGGAGCACTCAAACAACACCACAAACAACTATTATAAGAACAGGTCCTCAAGAATGTTCTAGAATACTTCAGTAGACTGTAACTTACTAGGATTGCCAAATATAGGATGATACCTTGGAGAACCGAGGTTTTTCAAAATGCATCAGATGGTCTAGTCTGGTTGGACCATCTCACAGCGCCCCACCCTCTTCCTTTGCGGCACTTAGCGCAAATGGGAATAAATTCTGAATTGTGCGTTTCGTGGTTGAATGTATCATCCGTTAGAACGCAAACTCCATGTGGACAAGGGCGGTAGGTACCTGTTATTCAGGGCCTTGCTAACACAGTGCCTTGAATGTGGCAGGAAATCAGGGACTATTGATAAATGATCAAAAGAGCAAATAAATAAACCTGTGAGTGACCAAGTAGTGTTAAATTGGAGGATACAGAATGCAAGTATAAAATCCGCTTTCAGATTTCCTGAGATTTGTTCGCAGGGTGCCTGGCCAGATTTATTACCAAGATACAAAAAAAAAAAAAAAAAAAAAAAAAAAAAAAAATGGCATACTGACAACAATCCACAGGTTAATTATTCTTGAGATGAATGCGGGATTCATAAAACCAATTCTCTTGGTGGTAATTTTCCACATGTAAAATTTTACAACTTCTGTGGGTATTTGCTTAACTTAACCCTTGCGTATGAAAACAATGAGGCAGGCAGATGGAGTTGCCGCTAAACTTCCACCCCTCGAAATCACGGTAGTTCGTTTCCAAAGTCCCAGAAATACACACCAGAAAACGCCACTGGGCAGTGTCAGAAATCCCCACAGCTAGTCACTGTTTTCTCGACAGTGCTCTCCAACCACTGATAAAAACTCTTTGAAGCGGAAGAGTAAATATTATCATTTGATAGTACTTGGACCCAACAGTGCAAACACAATTGCATTGTGTTGCACTCCGGGGGCTCCTGCGCGCACCACGCCGCGGCGTTGCCATGGAGGGGACAAGGTGCTCGCGGCAGGGGCGGGCCGGGAGGCTGCCGGGTACCCAGGCGCCCCCGCCCCTTCACCTTCCTCGGGCCGACTCGCGGAAAGCGAGGGGGCAAAAGCTGGCCTTCGAGGGTGTGTTTCTGTGATCCTGGGAACTAGGGGCCCACGATCAACAGTGGGGAACGCCGACCCCTAAATACCGGCTTGCTTTTACCACTCCCGCGGGCTTTTGGTGAGGGTCACGGGTGGCGGGGGGAGGGAGGGATCCGATGAGCCGGAGAGAGTGGGGGGAGGACTGCAGAGAGGAAACCCCCCCAGGAGTCGGGGTCGGCTGTCCTCCCCTCCCCCCGCACCCCGCGTCGCCAGGCTTGGCGGCACGCGGGAACAGGGTCTCTGGCGAAGGCGCCCCGAGGTCCCGGCGGGTTCGGGGAGCACGGCGAGGGGACTCGAGCGGAGGGCTGCAGGACCCGTAACCCGGGGCATACCCAGTGGAGCGAGAGGCCTCAAACCGCGGGCGCCCCTCCCGGCTCCGTGCCCCGCGGACGCCCTGGCGAGGGAGAGGCGTGGGGTGTCCCCCCCCCCCACCGCGGTCCGCCCGGCCTCCCGGCCCCGGGGCCGCCCTCCCGCCTGCCCCCGCGCGGGCTCACCTTGCCCGGGAAGGGCCCCGGGAGCAGCAGCTTCAACGCCTGCCTCTTCAGCTCCACCAGGCGGGCGTTGCAGTTCTCGCACCAGACGCCGCGGTCCGAGCCGGGGGAGGAGCCGCCGCCGCTGCCCGAGCCCGGGGAGCCCGTGCCGAAGCCCGGCGAGCCGCCCAGGGAGCCCGGCGAGCTGGTGCCAATGCCCGGGGAGGCGGGGCCCGGGGAGCCTGTGAACGAGCTCGGGGACGAGGTGCCCGAGCCGGGGGACGGGGTCCCCGACGAGCCGAGCGCCGAACCCGCGCCCTCGGGGGTGGGCCGGTTCCCGGCGCGCGACTCCTCGTATGCTTTCCGGTACCAGCTCTCGGGGGAGAAGGGCGCCGCGGGCTTGGTGGGCGAGCACACTTCATTCACCTGCGGGGGGAGACGTGCAGAGTCAGGGGCCGCAGGGCGGCGGGCTCCCGCGTCCCCGGGGTGGGGTCGGGCCGGGCTGGAGGCGACCTACCCCCGCCCTGCCCCGCACGCGCCGGCCCGGAGATCCGCGCGCCCCCGAGGGCCCGGCCGAGTGCGTCTGAGACCGCTCCGAGCCCTGCGGCCGAATCTGCCTCCATCTGCCCCGTGAATCGTTCTTAAGTGGGTCCCCCCCACCCCAGGTGCCCCTGCGCGGGTTCCCGGGCGCCGGCGGACTCCTCCTCCGCTCGGCTGGAGAGGGCTCGCTCGGGGGCTTTCCATGGTTTCTGCGGGGGGAACCCATACAGTCGGCACCCCCGCGCTTTCGAACCCGACACCCATCCCCAAAAGAACCCACGTTCAAGTTCCTGGAAGACGCTACGCCCGGGACGGGTGGGGGTGGGGGGCTTCTGGATTTTTATTCATTCCGGGTACAGCCCTCCGGATCCTGGAGGTAAACGGAAGGTTCTCCCGGCTCCAGGGAAATGATCCCGAGGAATGGCTGAGGATTCATGGACATCCCCCCCCCCACCACACACACACACACACACACACACACACACACACACACACATTCGGCTTAACTCTGCCTGGAAGTGCACGAATGCCGCAAAAGTTAGGGGTGCGGGGATGGAAAGGAACGGGAAGACAGAAAATTCCGAGGGTGAGGCTAGTGTGCGGGCGTCCTCGCCGGCGGGCCCGCCTCCGCGCACGCACAGCCTGGCGGAGGCGCCTCTGCAGCAGCAGGAGAGCTCGGGGCCGCCCCGCGCGGCCGCACGGCGCCGGTTAAGGGGGACCCCGGCCGAGGGGGCTCTGCTAACGCGCCTCCGCATCGTAGCCGTCGCAACTTACCCCGTATTTCTTGCCCCTGGTGGAGACCGCAAGCCTCTCTTTATTCCCCGCTACCGAATTCATGGTGGCCTTTCCAGAAGAGAGTGTCTAAATGTTCCACCAACACTACATCCAAAAGGTCTTCCGACCCAGAAGGGTACCCCCCCCAGTTGTCGGGGGGCTGGCTCTTGGCCCTCAAGTCAAGGTTCCTTAATTTGGGGTGGGGGGGAAGGAAAGAATCAAAGCAATGGACCCCAGAAGTAATAGCACTAATTTGCAGAACGGGTTGGAGTGGCTGGTTTATTCTTCTCTTCCAATAATGCTTTTCCTCCTCCTCTTCTGCCTCCTCCAGTCACACGTTCTCTTTTCACGGTCACATCCAGATCCCTGGCATTTCTCCCCAGCCAAGGGAGTCCGTTTTCCTCCACGAGGGAAGCGAGGTGGGGGGCGATCAGGCACCCGCCGCCGCGGGGAAGGCGGGTGAGCCCCGCCGCGCCGCGCCGCGCCTCCGCGGGGCGCGCCGGCTGTGGGAACTTGTCTCCTTCCCGGAGCTCGGTAACTGAGTTCAAAGAAATTCTCCCAAAATATAAAGATCCAGACTCGGGGAGGAGCCTCGGCGCGTCGCGGAGCCAATATCCGCCGGCCCCGCTCGGCCTGACAGTTGCGCGAGGGCTGGGAGAGGCGGCGCGGCGTGGCCCGGGCGCCGCCGCGGTCAGCGCGCGCGTGTGCGCCCGGGCGCAGCGCGG